CTTTTCAATCGTTAACTTCCTTAACTTATCAGCAATATAACTTCATCACCTGAATACGGGGTTTATATCTCTCAGTTGATTTGATATACAAAAGCATACTCTACGAAGGAACAATTCCTTAAACGAGGTAAATTATTGAGAAACAATTTGCTCATACAAGAATATCAGCAGTCTCGTTTAAAGTCCTTATTTCTTAAGTTCTATGGTCGATACAATGAACTAGTCAGCAAATACAATTTATCTAATGTCCATTGCTGATTGGCGTTTTTCATACTGATTCTTAATCCATGATTTACATACAGATTTTCCCGTTATTTCTGGATCATGAAACACGGCAGTTGTGACCGGTAGGCAAGGGATGCTACATGGCACCTGATCCCACCTCTGATGTTTTTACAAAATGTATGTAAGGAAATCTCGTATAGAATGTAGTATAGAAATATTCCTAGAAATGAAAGAGTATGTAAACTTTGTCTCAAAACAAAAGGTAATCTTTGAATTGCATATGAAGTCCTCTTTATTGAATATTGTGGTCTGAATACTATTAATAATATTAGAAAGAAGCTGTCAAATATGAAGACATTTCTTTTTCTTTTTTTTTTTTTTTTTTGGTAATACAAGAATTTATTTCAATATGGATAAATGCTTTGGCACAGCATGTCTTTCTAGTTTTAAAGGAAGAGAATTTTCACGAAGTCTCACGAAGATTGATAATACAAAAATCATAAAGATCAAGATGTTATATTTTGTTTAATGCTTGAAGAGGACTATGCTATGCAAATTACATGCGACTTAAAATGTATTGTACGTTGGGCTTGTGACCTTGAATACTCTAATAAATATATATTGGTTGATAATGTTTTGAACATCAAATAGTATCAAACATTTAAAAAAAAAATAAATTTCAGAAAAGATAGTTGAGGATCATTGATAATTAAGAAAAACATTGTTGCTCTCCTGACTGCCGTAAAATTGAAAATTAGAACCATAAAAATCAAAAATTCAAAAAGGGTTGACAGCATGAATTGTTAACGAAAATATGCTATATTTTTAATCCAATATATCAAAATTTAAACATCTGAAAGTATTTGAACTGACTTGAAGAATTCCTTATCTATGTCAAAAAACTAGCTAAAATATACATAATTATGTATATTTAGAAGATAAGATATATTTAATGGGATATTTTCCTTCTCCTTCTCTGGAAAAACACTGTAAGCAAGTGAGGTCAACAAAAACATTCAATTCATAATTTTTTCTTCATATTGATTCTCACATATTTCTTACATTCTTGACTACGACGGGAGGAGACTTTAAAGTAGGATTGCAAAGCAAAAAAATATCAGAACGTGTGGTTTATTGAAGTTGAGGTGAAATTATGTGCATTTAAAACGATTATTCAGTTTGTTTATTTTCATATTCATTAAAACGTTCAAATAAAAAATTAAAACACATTTGAAAATTGAATGATATCATTAAAATATGGATGAATTTACTTACTAAATTTACTTACTGACGCCTGTATCTGACATTTTAGATGCAAGATGCAACATAATCATAAGGACGTGCGACTTATTTATGTCAACATGCAAGCTAATATTATGTCAACATGCGACTTATTTATGTCATAATGCAAGATAATTATGTCAACATGTGACTTATTCATGTTAACATGCAAGATATGTAATTTGATATGCAACTTATTTTCTTGCATGTTGACAGAAATATTTTGTTTGTATGGTGGCATATTTCTGCTCCCTACATGCAAGATAAATCATGTTAACATGCAAGAAAATTATGTCAACATGCAAGAAAATTATGTCAACATGTAAGATAATTATGTTGACATGCAAGTTACAAATCTTTTTTGATTTCATGATGTGATCAATCTAGCAGGTGTTTATGCTTAAAATTATCACGCAAGCCAATGGGTTGCTCATCGCCTTAAAATAAAAAAATTGGAGTTATTCCTTATATTTACATGCTCTTGATTCCGCCAATCCACTTTCTACAAGCCCCGCTTCTGTCTCTATTTGTCCCGTCACGTACTTAATTTTTTTTATAGCACCTATCATGAACATTTATGTAGAAATAAAGTACATTAAATTTTACTATTTATTATTTTATCTCGGACAAAGACAATGGAAACATAAATATTGTTATTTATTATCTCGAATTCCTACATCAAAGACAGGAAACTACAAATTTTTTTTTGCAGAATGACCCATAAATTCTCCCAGTTATCCTAGGAATATCATTTTGAACCACTGTTCTTTTAAATTGACGAACTGGTCATTTTTAACACAAACTTGTTACTATGGGATGATGGTTGGAAGTTTTAAATATATAATACTATGACATGATGCTGATATAGTATATTCAGTATGTTAATCAACACACAATAATCACACAAGTCATATTTAAAACAAAATTAAATTAAAATTCTGATAAGGAAATAAATTTATTGTACATGTTATGTTCAAACATGTTTGATTCATGGAAGTGATATCATTTTTTCTCTTTCAAATGGAAAACAATATCATATCAACATATCTCTAAAAAACAAACTTGAGTCATGAATAAGTATTTTAAGTACTTTTATTGGCAGTGTTTTATCTTCGATGACAACATATCCCCCCTCTCTCTCTTGGTAAGTCAAACATTTAACATACAAAACCTAATACAATAAAAATTATCTACACCATTGCACGTAAAGCATTGAGCAATCCCTGATTCTCTAACATAGTATATTTTCATTATCAGCATTATCTCTCAGAAATATTTATATCCACTATAAAAATCATCATAATCACAATTCTACATATTTACACAAAACAAAATTGAATTTTTAAATTACTTCCCTTGTTAGAACTCTTTTGGAATTATCTGAAAGGAAATGCAACAATTGTTTCTTTTTGCCTTTTTTTCTTTTTTGCCATTAGGGAAATTACATCTTTGATAACTTTTTTCCTGACCTATGGCTGAAAGGTTCTTTTGCATGGTGTATCACTTATTTCACAAACCATTTAATAGCTTGTGTTCCTTAAATGAAGAATACTATTATCAGTCTGCAAAACAAAAAAGGAAATTTTGATCTAAAATAAACATTTGAAAGAGGTTGAGAAATATATTATTATTCTCCCCTTATGTTAGTTAACATGGCTATTTTACAAAAAATTGTTCAGTGCATTTATCTTCAGCAGTATATTATACAAGTAATGCTAAGAAATATTGATTTTACTTGTTTCAATGTATATTTTTTATGAAGAAGTTCTGCAAAAAAAAAGTAATTAAAAAAATTACAGCGGATTTAACAAATCAATCATTCACAAATTTTCAATCATTTAAATTTTTAAAACAAGACTAGCTATTAAACTACTATGTAACAAGTCTATAAACATATGAAATAGGCAACAAAACAGAGTCACTATCATTATTTAAAATACATGTATAAACAAAATATCAGAAAGACTTGATAAAATATGACTTCAAGCTGAAGATCCTACTTAGAAATTTTACAGTCATTGAAAGTTCCATGCATTTACAAAATTATATTTCTTTGAGATCCTGAAGAAAATATACCATTTTAAAAACTACTATTATAACAATTCTGTCAACTTAAAGTGGGGGCATAATAAAACAATCACAAATATACAATTTATGTATCAGCAATATGTACAATAAGCACCTACAATTTCTATATATACAAGATTAACCTAATAGCTGCATAGATATCACAGTCAATCGTCATGGAGACCAGAACCATGGCAACAAAATGGTACACGGATGGCTTGAGCAAGTAAATACACAAAATGCCAAAATTCATAGCACTATACTGAAAGAGTTCTCTACCACTCCAAACTGAACAGTGGGAAGAAAATACATCATGTTATGATGGAAAATGTTGAGCAAGGGGAAAATTCGTTCACAATGCAAGAGATGTGAAAACCGTTTTGATTATAAACATCAATATCACCTAACATGTCTAAGACTCATTAAAGACTGTAACAATTTGACCATTTCAGTGACATCCTCTGTTCATTTTTAGACAATCTTTAAACAAAAATGAGGCACAATTTTCCATAGCCAGAGGTATTTATGAATCTGGAGAGAAAAAAAAATACTGGAATGCTACTAGTTCTGAAAAGAACTTAAAATCAATGATGATTTACGTGTATAATGAAACAAAAGTTAGTCATCATTGATGAAATGACAGCATGATACGAGTATGAGAGCAGTCAGTTGAATGTATGATACGGCCTCTAACCTATCATCATTAAATCTTAAGGCACAGGCTTATCAGCTGGACCATTAAACAGGAAGTACTGTGTTCAGATGAAGTAAAATTTCTTCAGGACTTTTTTTCACACTTACACGTTCACTAGAAATCATCCAAAAAATTAACAAGGATTATAGAATGATACTGGCCAAATATATTAATCCAGTATGCAAGTCTGGTATTTATTGTACACTACTCAATTAACTATTCCATAGTACATGCACCATGCACTTAGTCAATTATTCATCAAACATCAGTGACCAGTCCCAGTATACATGGTGTATTGTACTTTTGTTCAGAATTACACTTGTCCTGGCTTTACTTTTCATCAGTCCATTATTTCTGTACATAGTTGAGTATTAATTGTATAGTCCACTATTTAATTTTACCCTACACAAGTCCAGTATTATTGTACATAGTCCAGTATTTTTACTGTACATAGTCCAGTATTTACTGAACACAAGTCCAGTATTATTGTACATAGTCCAGTTTTAATTGTACACAAGTCCAGTATTATTGTACATAGTCCAATATGTACTGTATTTACTGTACACAAGTCCAGTATTTACTGAACACAAGTCCAGTATTATTGTACATAGTCCAGTTTTAATTGTACACAAGTCCAGTATTATTGTACATAGTCCAATATGTACTGTATTTACTGTACACAAGTCCAGTATTTACTGAACACAAATCCAGTATTATTGTACGTAGTCCAGTTTTTACTGTACATGTCAAGTATTAGTTACATCTCATCCAAAAAAGTAACTCAAGTGGCAGTCAAAATCAAAAATCCAATGCTTTGTTGACAACCTCTCGGAGTTGTGTCCCTTTCTGCACATCTTGTTTCGCTAGAACACGACGGAACATGATTGGACAGTCCAGCGATACGCATGGCTGATTCTCATCCTGAGCTCCCATACAAGTATTACACACCTACAAAGGAAATTGTTAATTTTTTTAATTTTGTAAGAAAAATTCCAATATATAAAACTTTTTTTTTTTTCAACAATATCAAATTTGTGTCACACGCTAACTTTAACTTATAATACATTGAACACTTTCCATGATCCTGGATACAGGGCACTTTACATTAATATATCTAACAAGAAGAAAACAGACTACCGGGGTATAATATATTTGCAAGATGGCATTAAGCTAATAAATAACACAATAAATTTGATGAAGAAAAGATGTCACTTCTGTGTTTCTTTTTTAATTTTTTATTTCCAGCATTTGAACATTCAGACTGGGTCAGATAGAGCCATATATGTCTCAAACTGTTAATGGTTTGTGGAGAGCATAGCAGACCAAGAAACATAAGCCTCCAAACATGTGAACCTAAAGGTCCTACTTAATGAAGGCTTAGGACATAAGATTTCCCACAATAAATAACACAGTTTACATCATTTTCTTTGAATCAATAAGCTATGTACCTTGACCAGGTCAGAGTAGACCTTCTCCCATTTCCTGATCCTATCACAGAGGGTGACACAAACATTCTGAGGGTCCTTAATACAGCTGTTACAGATCGCCTGATTGGTCTGTCTGTCACACACAGGACAGTTGGTGGCTGAGAAGTACTGAGAAATAGTTCCCTTCTTCTGGTCAGGAGCAAGGAGAGCGGACGGCACGACTCGCACAACTTTTGGCATGTCATTATACCTACAGAGGGAGAAGGAAACCGTTAAGGAAAACAAAGTACAGCTTTAGATTTATCTTATAATGCATATCACAAACAGGATATGTCAGTTAAAGAATCTACATACAGTGTATATAGTGCTATAAAAAATGATTAAAACACTTGACTACCATAAATTTTGATGTACACTAACAGCATATGTGAGGAAAACCTACATGGAGGTAACTAAGCAATGACTATACATGCATTTAAGGCACTTTTTGTCTGCTATGAATTGAATAAGTTATATACTATTAGAGTAAAACCAAATACATAAAGAAACTTGGCTGGATATGAAGTAAATTAATAATTATGCAAATAATCTTGTGTTGAAAAAATGCGCTAAATTTTGAGTTGCTTTATGATGTACATGTATGTTTGTTATTTTACATTACTGGTATCGTACCATGTCAACCCCGAGGACAGAGAGAAGAGTCTTACCATGAGAAGACATCGACCCCGATGAGAGAGAAGAGTCGGTCTAGTGGTGGCAGGATCTGTTTGGTGATGTAATACGTGGCATTCAGTCTCAGGGACGGGTCAGCGAGGACCTCGTGTGGCTGTCGTACTAACTGTATCAGAGGAAGTCCCGGACTGCCGTAGATAATTACATACGGAACTCGCTCCCCGGTACGCGGCTCCGCTCGTCTGTCGTGTCTCAGTAACTTCCTACAATATTCACATTATCTCATGTAAACATACATAAAATTACAGAATTTAAACGATACTGAAAATAACATCACAACTGTATTTCTTAAAATTCAGTAGAGCCAATGAGCAAAAATTGAAAGTTTTTATTTAATGATTACATTTTGCAGATACTAGTCATAACATAACATATACTTGATCTGAAATTTTACACATTTCCTTCTCAAATTAATTTTATAACTTAGAGAAATACAATGTTTAAGCCTGCTTGATATTTCTGCTACAATTGACTCCCCTCCTATGACTCCAGACTCACTTGGCAATCTCCAGGGCCGGTACACAAGCTCCAGGTTTATAACCCTTCATTCCGCGGTACTCCTTGGCAAATATACAGTCCTGCATGCTGACTTTTCCTTCCATGAACTTCTGGCACTGACGTAATACATAGTCCTTCACTTTAGATACATCCTTACATCCAAACAGAATCTTGATAGATCGCTCCAGAATCTACAACAATATGAAGATATTAAATTACAACCTAAGCCGTTAACCTCCCTTTGTTAGAAAAATCTCACATGTATACTACACTGTCTGTTACCTTGGATACGGCTGAACACGAGTCTCGTCGGACTGTCTCGATCCCCTTGGCGTCAAACACGGGTTCCTTCTGGTCCACGGTCTCGTAACTGTAACCCACGTATCGCTTCTTTGTTTGTAAGACACACGGGTAATATACCTGGGGACAGAGAATATGCAATGAAAATGTGTAAAGCTGACTTAGGTATAAATCTTATGGCAGAGAATATACATGGTACATCCGTAAAAATGACAAAGATTAAACAAAACAAACATCATCTTCAGTAAAAACAATTGTGATGAATTGCTTTGGTTAGTCAGAGTTACCTCTGTATTTCTTATCATGACTATAATTCAATTTTATTTTAACTCATTACCTTGATTATTTTGTTAACAATAAATGACTTCTTTGTATGCCGACATTAGCAGTAAGCAATTTTTTTTAAACAAAGTTAACGATTGTTCACAAACATTTTATACACTGAATGGTTTTTCAACAGATCTGACATAACTGGTATACCTTTTCAACAGATCTGACATAACTGGTATACCTTTTCAAACTTCAGTTTGATTGGCTTCGGGTTCATAGCTGTTACAGCATCACAGATTTCATGTCCAATGGTGAAGGCCTCTTCTTTACTTTTACCCTTCATTTCAATAAACATACTGTAAGACAAAAATCAATATGTTGAAACACCAAAATGAACATGTTATAACACCAAAATGAACATACTGCAACACAGATATAAACATACTGTAACACAGAAATAAATGTGACCCCACCCCCCAAACTCTGTTACATGATAATATACCTGTCCGTGTCACCATAGACAACTCGCGCCCCCCACTCCGGCCTATCCTCCACCAATCGGATCGCTCGTTCCAGGGTCTCTCGAGCCTTCCTCACAATGCTGTCCCCAACCTGTATATATAAAACAGATTCATGTTTACTTGAATCTTGTAATTTAAAAAAAAAAGGATGTGTTTTACCCTGTGTAATTATAAAGACTGTCCCCAGAAAAGCTGCACAATTTCAATTCTATCAAAATTCCTATTCTATAACAACATAATGTTCAATTTCTGCCTTTACTTGCATATTACAATGTACAAATATGAACACTTCACTTTCAATTACACATACTTATGCACAGATATGTAATATACAATCATGTACATTTAAATACATGCAAACACTCCATGTAATTTACCTCAATACATGGCATTCTCCCGGAGAAGTTAGCCCCTGTGTAACCATATGTAACGTTGGCAATGAGTTTGAGTCCCATTTGTCGAGCGTCCAGAAGGCGATACAATCCTTTATCATCTTTATGCTCCTTCATCGATTTCTTCACCATAATACGAGTGTTCAGAATCTCTTCAACCATTCTGTCCAGAGATAAAACAGAATTAGAATATTGGTGAGTAAATTTGCTTCCTTTTTTTGGTATGAGATGTGTATGATGTGGGAATTATAAGGTTACTTAAAAACCTTCAGGTACATGTATGTTCCTTATCAAACAGTTACCAGACAAAACATACTTTGTTCCTTGATAAAAATTTACCAAGAAGAGTTATGGCCCTTGTCACATTTTGGGAAGTGAACAGCATAGGACATTAGTACAACATTGATACAACACTGGACGGTGAACTTACTTGGAGATGATCCCTTTTCTGACATGCTCCTTAACAAACACAACTCCATTGGGAGACACAGTTACGTCATTCTTTATTCTCTGAAAAGTCAATAACATACAATAAAATCAAAAACATTTACTTTGTCTCATAAAAAAGATTTCAGTGGATACATTCAAGGACAAAAGTTAAACAAACTTACATTAAGGGTTTTAGGAGAGATACGCAGATGAGTACATCCAAACTCTATTGGGCCATCACTACAATGAAAATACACCCAATGTAAACAGTACCGGTATTATATCAGAGGGCATTAAAGCCAGTTACACTGCTGACTGCAGTACAGTACTGTATTAAAGTTATCTATTTACTGGGCTGTCCCCACAAATAGTTGCAGTACAGTACTGTGTAAAAGTTATCTACTTACTGGGCTGTCCCCACAGATAGTAGTAGTACAGTACTGTGTAAAAGTGAGCTACTTACCAAGCTGTTCCCACAGATAGTTGTAGTACAGTACTGTGTAAAACTTATCTATTTACTGAGCAGTTCCCAGATAGTTGTAGAACAGTACTGTGTAAAAGTTATCTACTTACTGGGCTGACTCCAGGAAGTCCAGTCTGCCCACACAGGTGGAGAAGCAGTAGTTGTACGCAATCATAATGGAGGGGTACAAGGACTGGAAGTCAAGGACAACCACAGGGTTGGCATAGAAACGAGACTCGGGCTCCAGGGTCAGGGGGATACACTCGGGGGCCCTCATACGGGCTCTCTGCTGAACGCTGGGGGAGGCGGGAATAAAATTCATAGGTTTGGCTAACCTCAACATCATAGACTCCACACGGTACTGCAAATTAATTACACTAAACGATTAACATCATACACTCCACACGATACTGGAAATCAAAATGTAGATGGTTTACACCAACAGTTCAGGAATCAATTAACTCCAAGTCAATCTGGTTAGTTTCATATTTACAAACAAATTTAAGTTATCAAACAAACCTGTGAGCCTCTGGAGAGAACATGGTAAAACTCGATCCCGAATACTCGTGCAAACTCGCTTGTCCTCCCAATCAGGTCCAGCTGGTCTATGATTTTTAAGTTACTCTGTACTCGAATTAAGTAGTACCTAATGAAGCGCCACCTACAGGTGAAATCAGAAGAATGAAAATCAGTGTAAATACAAATTATCATTCAAATGTATGCGTCTCCTTAACATGCTATACAATTAAGACAACGTAGAGTACACTACACACAAATCTACATTCGATGTTTTTATATTGTGAAATCATGCAGTTTCTTGATATTATGCAGTGTAACAAATTCAGTAGGGTTGAGATCTTTACCTGTACAGATGTGTTCTGTGTTTGAACCAGGAGTTGAGGGTCTGGAAGCTGTAATGAGGCACCCTCTTGTGAATCACATGGTGGGCTATATTCTCAAATGTGTAAATGTTCAGCGTCACCTAAAAATACACAGAACATCAAGTAAATGAAATGTCGAAAGACTTCAAAAGGTTCTGCTTAAACCCCTGTCACACCAGGACTGCATCCTCACGGCGACTGCACGGCGTCCTCAAAAAATGCAAAACGCCGAGGTGATCGCAGTAGAGTCTCCTACAGTGCCGTGACAACGCGGCGAGATCTCCACTGAATGCCGTAGGGTCGCGAAGGGTCTCCAAGAACGCCAGGGGATGGCGATCACTTTGGGCATGCACAAAGTACGCGCCGTGTGATCGCGGTCTGATAAGAATGCAGTAGAAACGTAGTATGATCGCCGTAGCAGCGCAGTGAGATCTCCAACAACGTAGTGGGAGCTCCGTATGAACGCCGTGAAGACGCATATGATCGCGGCACGAACGCAGTGATAGTAGACTGCGCTTCCACGGAGACCTCACGGAGATGCCGCGGAGTCCTTGGAGATGTCGCTGCGTTTCTATCGCGTTTTTATGGCGCTTCTAATGAGATTTATAGTCTTGTAATTTTTTCGACTGCGATTACACGGTGACAGCACGGAGTTGTCACTGCGATCATTGCGCTCCCGTGGCATTTCTACAGCGTCCGTTGGCGAACGCAATGCGCTTTCACGGCGTTGTTAGATCGTTGTCAGCCAGCTCACAAAACAAGAGCAATGGGATCATATTTGATCAGCAATTATTCCAATGTATTTGTTGCACTAGAAGCATTTAAGTTAAAAAAAATGGAAGAGAAAATTACACTAGAACTTCTTCAGTTGTTTCACTTTAATTTTGTAGAAAATTTTTCGGTGTGTTTATTATTTTTTTTACAATCATGATAAATTTAAAGAAAATCTAACAACACAACGGAACCGATGAAATTGAAAAAAAAGGAGTTTAATCATAAAACTATTAATAATTAAGCACTAAATTATTTAAATATAGAACATTTTTAATTATTAAGAATATTTCTTGGCATGATTAGAAGTCTTTTTATCGTGTAACTTGAATCTTTAAGTAAAAATGTTTTACATTCCTTCTGAATATATATCAATGACTATAGAACGCATTGTGAACGTATTGTGAACGCAGCCAGCGCAGTGAAAACGCCGTGAACACGAGGTGAGAACTACTAACGCGCCGTGTAAACTTCGCGGAAGCGCAGTCAATCGCTGAGAGATCTCCGTGGGAACCCAGTAGAACGCCGTGAGATCGCCGTAGAATCGCATCCGTCGCTGTAGGGACGCCGTGACATCTTCATATTGTGAAAATTTTACAGAAATTTGTGCAATTTCCCTGCGATTCCACGGCGATTTTAAAAAATTAACAACGCCGGAATGACTCCGTGTGAACGCAGCTTGGTGTGACAGGGCCTTTATGAAAATTAAAATACATTTTTTCTTCTCTCGTTTTACAGCTTAATTGGGTTAAAATTCATACATTTCAGACAAGTAATGAATTTCTACTGACCAAGACTGAAGATCAGCTGACCTATAGTGTATCTTATACACTGAATACAAGACACACCCTCCCCCGCTCTACCCCTTCATCTCAAGTCAGACAAAACATGATGTCCCATTTAACGTTCTATGACCTTTCTTCCCCTTCCTTTCTCGTCACACAAAACATGATGTCCCCTCTCCCTTTCTACCCAATCCTCTCAGATCAGATAAACCACCCCTGTACACACCTCATGTCTTAGGATCCTCCACAGATTCAGGATGATACGTCCAGCGAGGTGGATCTCAGAGGAGTGGTCTGCTCCCCATTCATCACTCTCTGCCTTAAAACTGCTCTTCTTCTTCTCATCTTAACAAATCAAAGCAACTCATTAATGCATAGATTTAATACCGTAAATCTGGAAATTTTTACGTCGATTTTATTTTGCGAATCTAGGTCAAAATGCTGTTGATTAATTTTTACGTTTCAAAATTTTGTGAATGACCACTACTTTGTTTACATTTTCTTATTGTTGATTTATTTTTAAGAAAAATATTTTTGCGAATGAAATGAACTCGCACATTTGCTTATCTTACTTTCTAATATGTCTGGAGAAAAATATTTTCACTTTGTAAAACTTCAACAACAGATGAAAACACTCAAATCAACTTTCTTACTATCTGTTTATGAATGTTTTCAATTCCTGCCAATGATGAAATGTCAATTATCTTGTAGATACCTTTATTAGGAATATTAAGAAGATAATTATGTTCCCCAAACGAAGTTGGGGAACATATTGTTTTTACTCTGTTTCTTATTATTATTTTTCTTCTTCCTGGGTACTTATTTGTCCGCGAATGATCTTGTAAACTGTTCATCTGATGTAGGTAAAACCTTTTTAGGGTTAGTAGACATGTTATGTAGATTTGCAGAATCAAGGTCATTTTGCGCGCACGTGCTTGCAAGAGCGCGCACGTGCAACACGTGAAATGACCAATATAATAGATGTAGCCTTAACTTTTCTATTTTTTGATGAAATGTTTTGAAAACAATAATATAAGTATATATTAGTATTATAGACAACAGGGCATGGTCAAATTATCATGAACTCACACGCATGCACGTGCGCTTCGCTCTGATTGGCTGAAACTAAAGTCTCAATATCTTATAAATCATGAAAGCACGTGCATGCACGTGCGCTGCAATCTGATTGGCTTAAACTTTAAATGCCTATAAATTTCTTAATTCTCAATAAATCAGGATTAAATTTAGAATATGAATAGGTGTAATAGAATCCTACATTATGCTAGTATCAAAATTGAATGTATGGACATGCAAGCACGCGCGCATGCGCAATGCGTAAAATGACTAAAATACTTGAAAAATAGTAACATTTATATCTGTATTATTTTCTTTTAATTCTCAGGAATTCTTTAGCCAACATGCCATGATCATCTTGCATATGCATGCGCATGTGCGTGCATGTGAAACGTTAAATGATATACAGTGGAGCCTCATTTATCCGGACGCTTTGGTTCCCAAGCAAATTGTCCGGATAAGTGAAGCGTCCGGATATCTGAATTCTATTGATTTCTCTTCCAGGTATACTGTATTTGTATTGTAACTCTTATATATATAAAGAAAGATAAATACTATCGTATAGAAATAATAATTTATTATTTTAAAATGGTAATTTTCTCCTCGTCAATAACAAACTGCCTTAAATCTTGCAATGAAGAACGTGGAAGATCTACTTTGCGTTGGCAGATTTTTTTCTTTAAGCTGGCGGAAATGCCGACTCGCGCTCTGTTTGGGGCGGTGTAGACATAGTTGTAGCTGGAGAGCAGAATGACAAACATTGGATATAACGCTGCTTATATGGGCATATTTTTAATTACCCAGCTTATTTTTACTTTCTACTTCCTATAAATTGATGAACATAGCCAAGCAAATTCTCTCTTTTGCAGCTTTGATTACACCCAAGCGAGCCGTCAATATCGAGTTCGAGTCTAATTTTAATTTGAATAGTTACTCATCCACGCTATTAAAAATTCACGCAGTAATCTTCCCAAGCGAAATCATTGATTGTCTAAAATTATTCAATTTGATTGAATGTGTTAGGTTTTGTTTTTTATTTTTTGACGATAACTGCCCACCAATCTACAGATGAAAATTACACAATTTGCACATGTGTAGACAACGAGATTATGAAACTATGTCGTCCCGTCTATAAATAGAAAAATATTTAAAACCAGCTCTGTATTAAAATTATAAATATCTCGCAGATAACAAATAACTGAATAGAAAATTGTTTTCTGTTTTCAACACAGTTAATTGTTTATTTTCATTTGTGTATCGATCTCTCGTATATTATGACCATATCCACTTAGCATGCTTAATCTGTGGACTAATTATCGTAAGTCATTCATAACAGGTCACAGGTGATCGTCTTGTAAAAACAATCAATCCGGCCAGTGTTTTGATAACATTTGTCACTCAGTTCAGGCGTGAATGTTGACAAGAGTGGAAGTACAAATTAAAATTTACCGTCCGGATAAATGAATCAAATTATAACGTAAAAATACATTTTGTAGTAAAAAAGAGCCGTCCGGATACGGAACGCGGAATTCCGGATAAATGAGTCAAAATTACGTTAAAAAAATCCGTTCCCGAGAAAAATCGTCCGGAAGGTGAAGCGTCCGGATATCTGGCGTCCGGATATCTGAAGGTCCACTGTATAGTTGATATTATTGTAACTTTTATATTCTTAAATGAAATCCTTCGATACTGAGCAAAAAAAAAGTATTGCAGGAATAAGGCACAAAAGGGATTTGGGGAGCGTTTGGGGAACATCTGTAACGGTCCCCGTTACAATTAACACTAGTTCAGATTTGACATTCAGTTAAATTCTAGAGGGTTAAGGGTATATTACCTGGTATCCTAGACATCTGAGCACACAGGTTAACACTGAGATGTGAGGCTCGCTGTAACAGGTAACCCCAGGACAACTTCTGAATCTCAAACCCCACCAGAATATCGGGGTCCCACCTAACACAGAAAATACAGATTTTATAGTTATTGTAGATCTGATTTTAGATTTTTATAGAACAAGTTGAATTGTAGATGTTCTAATTCAAGGTAATGAAGACCATTAAAAAATCCCCATCATATCATTCTGTATAGAAATGTTACTAAGAAATAGATTTTAAAGTAAGGTTATAAATTTACAACTCAGTTAGAAAGCTTATACTACATTAGAAATCTTAAAACACCACAGAGCCACTTTTAGAGTTCAGTAAATCAATGAGTCAAGTAAATATATATCGCAAGAAAATTTTGAAATAAGATATAAAATAATTTTCATTTTGTAAAAGTACAAGTATTTACAAGTTTATAACTAATATTCTAGAGTAGGAGAACTCTTGGTTTCTTACTTGGAGAACAACTTGAGGACTTCTTGAAACAGTTCCTCTTCATTTTCCACATAAGTGACTTCCAAGTCTTCATTCACCCCGGATTTCTGCAGCACTGTGTCTTCTATCTCCGACGCCTTGGGGATCTTTCGCACTGGTTTGGGGGAGGGGCTTCGTGACCTTGACCTTTTCCCTTTCTGTGATGGAGCAGGGTGACTTGATGTGGAGGGTTGTGGGGAGGGGGCCCGCTGGTAGGAGGTTGAAGGTTGATCGGATGACCTGACCTTTGACCCTGTGTCATGCGACGTGGAGGGCTGTGGAGATGTGGGTTGGGTGACGGTTGATTTCTTACTATTTTTCATGGCTTCCTGGCTTTCCTTGGACTTCCTGTCCACCAGAATGACCCCGGTGATGTCACACTTTTTGTCCTCCGCAGACACGTCACTGAAAATGTTGTAGAAGATGGCGAGGATGGGGTCAATCTCGGGGTCAGGCATCAGGTCACGTCGCGTCTCTGCGTGTAGCTCAAGACTCATCACTGTCAGGTTCTGTATCTGGAGAAATATACAGGTTATTATATAAGATATATACATGTGTGTGTTTATGTTTTTGTACGTAACCTTTCTTTCAGAACTTTCTATATTGTCATTGTAAAAAAAAAACCTTTATGCCTTCTGGGCCCAAATTTGGGAAATAAAATTATCTATAGGACTCAGTCAGCACATATCGGTGTCAGTTCTTTATTATTCACTATCAGCCAAACTTCCAGACATATTTAAAACAATGTGGCATTCAGAATTCTAACCATTATAAATCAAAACACTATATTCATATTAATATGAGGCTTGGAATTTCTAGAAACGACAAATCTAAATCACTTTAAATTTTAAATCTCCCATTACAACAAAAAACTTATGCTTAAGTATCTTTTCAAATTTAGGCCTATACTTTACTTCTATAGAGTAGTTCCTGCAAATTGAAATAGAGGGAAGACATAAAAAAGCAGAAGGGCCCTAACAGGGGGTTGAGAGGAATACTGAAGAAGTTCAGGGATTACGTCATTAGAAGTGGTTAGAGAGCCCTAGGCTTAGGGACCACCCTGCTTTAATAATTCAATGAGTAAAACTGCGGCAATTATTTCTTTTAATGCCAAATCCTCACCTCGTGAAGTGCTTTTGCATCCTGGAAGTTGTGCTGACTGACTTTAAATCCAAACGAATTCTTTGGGGTGGGTCCATCGATCTGAGACACATTCCCTTTCGAGTTTGTGGGGGTAGCCATATCCTGATAAGTAAACAAAATTTATTAATTCTGTAAACTTTTCAGTAACATATCATTCATTTCTCTGCTTTTATCATTTGATTAAGATAAACAAGTATCTGAAAACACGTTTGTTCTTATTACAGAAACAGATGCTCAGGTCACTTTGGACAATTACAAATTACAAGTGAGGTCAAGATTTTTAAAATTGGTTTATTTTCAATATTGTTTAAAAATGAACTTTTGCTTTTCAATTGAATAGAAAAATGGAAGGAATGGATGATCTTTCTTACCCTCATTTCAGCTGAGGACATCAGTGATCGTCTAGGATCTCCTTTTTCTACCGACTGTTTCCTGGGTAATGTTACTCTACGTGGGGTCTGAAATTCTCCAGAAGTCTCTTCACTTAATCTAACTTTCTTGTCTGCATCTACATTGCCAGAGATTGGAGTCACATTGATTCCCTCTATCAGAGATTTTTGATCCCGTGAAGATACTGGGGTGCTATGTGAGGAGCCAATCAAATTTCTCCGTACTAAGTCACATGACTGCTTTTTTGGGAGTGTTGCAGACGACATCTGGCTAAGCCTCATTCTGGATGTCAGGGATTTTCCCAGCTGTTGAGAGTCCTTCCTTATTGATCTTATCGTTGTTTTGGGTGGGGAGGGGCTGATGATGTCCGCTCGTCTTCTGAATGAGGACATGGCCTGCTGGGGAGGGGAGGGACTGATTATATCCTCATCGTCAGAGTCCGGGGATTTAAACACTGAGTTCGATTCCCTCTCTTGACAAGCTGGTGGTGTACTTTCTAAACACATACTTGTTTCACCATTATGTTTCACTGGGGAAAAACTGTCATCATCAACATGAAATATTTCAGTTGTCTCATTAAAGCTAACTTCTCTGGTAAGAAACCTTTGTTTTGGTGTTTCAGTAATGTTTATACCTAAATCCTCCACTTTCTGCTGATGTGGGGTTAGTGTCACTATCTTAGTAAATTCCACAGATTTCCCATTTTCCTGTGAATCACTGCATTCTTTTCCTTTCTCTCGGGAGTCACTCTCCTGACTTTTCCCGGACTTTTCCTTTGTCTTCTGTTGCCTGTATAGTTCTTTCTTCTCTAACCAGGATCTCACGCTGGCCGGCGATGGGGCCTGTTTACAGGGTACCATGGTAACCAGTCGGTCACCGAGCACCGAGCATCGGAGGGTGTGGTCTCTTGTGATGGAGTCCATGAGGGTTTGATTGTCTGACTGTGAGGGCAGGATGCGGTCAGTGGCGGCCAGGATTTGTCTGATTGTGGACAGTCCCTCACAGGCCACCGTACTCAAGTATTCCATCAACCCTGTCATCTATACAATATATAAAACATGTAATACAAACACTATAGTTCAATCCACACTTTTCAAAAGTTATATGTCCTTTTGTCGTCTTTGGGGGAAAAACTCATTGAATCCTCACAGCAGCCTTTATAGTTTTCTGGTTTGTAACTTTGTCAACTGACTCGGAAAATTTTGTGCATCTTGTATAATGATTGACCCAAGATGGAGCTACCCATAAATTGAAAGAAAAAATTTAATCACAGTGGATTTATCAGAGCACGCCCAAATGTTTAGTACTGTAGCATAAAGAGGAGAAATGTCATTTCTTTTCCTTTTGGTTGACCCTGCAAAGGGACATAACTATTGCAAAGTGTGGATTATTAGTTAATGTACAATATTCATGTAATACATACACTATTGGTTAATGTACTATCTCATTCCCTGTAGATATATGCATTCAATGATAATTCATCTTGTTAAAATTTTGAAAAGGTTTGTATTTTTTACAGAAATTGAGATATTTACATTATCATTTTTTTTATGCACTGCACATCATTTAATTGCGATTAAGAAAGAGAATACTAGTATAAATGAAACCATTCTGACAAATAAAGAAAATACTTGAATCTATTAAAAATTCTAAAATTAAGTAATTATTTTCCTTATGAACTAGTTATTAAGTTGTTAAACTAATGTCAAACAAGATAGAAAAAGAGGTTTTCGAAAAGCAAACTAAAGAAAAAATACAAAAAAATGTTTAGTACAGAGTAAAATATTTTTAATATCTAATATAGAAAGATCTATGCAAAATAACATTAAACTAAAGTCCTAATTTAAAGGGAAAAACTAAAAACGCAATGATGTGAATAAGAAAATGACTGAATGTGAGAAAGACAAAATTATTTAAGTCCCGAAAAGAATTAAAAGTGCTCACCCTATTGGACTGTAGAGTTAGGATTCTCCCACCCACCTCCCTACAACACACAAAATGCCTTTATTTCTTATAATATGGATTCAAGTTCAAGATAAATATCAATATTATCTTTTTTTTTAAAAATTAAATCACTTTACTCTTATAAACATACAAAAATAATTCCTATATTGACACACCAAATATTTTATGTCTTGTTAAAATTAAATTATTTTTTTTATACGCTTTTTAAAAAAATATATGCCTAGTTGTTAATTAAAAATATATTTGTTCTCAAGAAAAGGGAAGATAAGTCTTGCTTCAAATAAAAAAAAGAAGCCTGTTACATTTTTAATTTTGTTTGACCTTACCTTGGTTTTTCGGGGACATCGTCAGCGTTGCTACAGAAGGCGTCCTGGTGGACGACGGTGAGAAGTCCGTACTGTCCCGCCGTTTCCTCCACCCTCAGTCTGGTGGGCGGGGCTTCCCTCGGTCTCAGGACTCTCCTCCTGGGTGGTGACAACGATCGGAACATTTTCTGTCCGTGCCCCTGTGGTGGAGATGGTCTCCTTTTCCTGGTTATCTTCTCCTGGTTTCTATGACACCCGTCCGGTTGCTGGGTTCCTCGGTCGATACTAGACTGATCCTCCACCTGAGTTTCCCCAGTCCCTGGTTTTGGCAGACCTTTTTCATCGGTTCCTTTCATTGTTCTGTGGTTAGCCATGGACATGATTTCTGATCCATTAACTACTGGCATTCTCTCTTCATTCTGTTCTGATTCACGAACTTCCAGCAAATCAGGTGTTCCACTTTCTTCGGAATCCATAAATTGGTCGTTTCTGACAAGGTTGGGTGGACTTTTGGAATCCTCCTTGGTATATTTCCCGTACTTTTGAATGATAGGGGGGCCCAGGTCTGGGGGGGAGAAGCTCTCGTTGTCACTGACGACAGGCACGTTCTCCTTCCCAGAGCAGATGGTCCTAAAGCAGTACCGTTTTATCTCTCGCTCTGTTAAAGGCTGTAACTTCACAATTGCCTTACGTTTGAAATGTAAAGGTCCAATTTTAGATCCTCTGGGATATGTACCTTTATTTGTCACATTGAATACCAGTTCTGTTGTTAATTTCTCTGGAATAAAACCCTTACATTGATCCTCATTAGTTCTGGTCTGTAAATCTGTCTGGGATGAGGATTTCAATGAAATACGGTCAGCATTAACACAAAGCTCCTGAGATGACCCCTCATTCTGTCTCTTTCTGAAGTCCACATTTTGAACATCTCTGTCCTTTACTTCCTCTGCATCTCTTTTAAGCTCATCTGCCTTGTTAAAACAGCATTCATTTTCTGTTTTTTCTTCAGCAATTTGATTGCTTAAGTCCAAGTCACTTAAACTCAGAGAGGAGACTTTCTTTACAGGGGATACATTAACACTCACCAACTGTGATGACTTGATTGGTGAATAAACTGGTGACCTGCTCTCCTCATCAGACATCAAAGCTTGGTGTAGATCATTAAACACGTTAGTTTTCTCTGGTGAGGAATCAATGTCTCCGAGATCTGTCGGGCTGTAGGGTCGGGGAGGGGACTTTTCTAGTTCCTCGGGGGTGGGGGTGAATAAAGAGACATAGTATACAGGGCGTCGTCATACTTAGTTCTGTAGTCATCAGTCGCGTCGCAGTAAGACGGAGCCACGTCCATCAGATTAGCCAGGGTGGCCTGATGCAGCACAGACAGACTTGTCATCAGTTTACCTGAGTGAGATCGAGATCGTCTCTTCCTGGCCCTGTAACTCGCTCCGTTAAAGGCTGTATGAATTTTACGACTCTTGCTCAACTTTTTCTTCTTCTTGACATATTTAGTAGTAGTTTTGGCTGGCCTGCTGTTTACAGAGTTTTCTTCACAACTGTCTTTCCCATCGTCCATTTCGTCATTATCATCATCATTATCATCGATATCATTGTCTATAAATATCACAGAATCATTAGACGTCCAGTCACTGTTTATCACGGGCTGTAGATCTAGACCAGGCGTTTCCCGCTCGTCCTCCGAGCTACTGATCTCGATCACGTCATCGTTTGGTCGGCTTCTTCTTAACAGGGACAAGCGGCTTTTTCTCGGCTGAAAATAAGTGGAATCTTTGGATGAATCATCAGAAACTATATTTCCAAAAAATTTTGAGTCTTGTAAGGATTTAAATTTTTCGAAGATATTGTCACAAAACAATTCATGAGACGCCATCTCTGGCGCTTGAACGGTTTTGTTCTGACTTAATCCATTTTTCTGAAAGAGTGAGTTAAATGAGAAATCTTGAGATAATTTGACTACAGTTCCATTTGATATATTTAATTTTTTTAGCTGAACTGTCATTTTTTTATGACCTTTGAACTTTCCTGTTACTAAGTAATCCACACCTGGTATTTCCTGTTTCCTCTTTCTTTCTCTGCGACAGATTCGAACAGATTTCCTCGTTTTTTCATTATCAGACTCACTCAGTTTCTTGTTTTTTGATTTTTCTGCTTTAGCTTGCTTTCTGCAGCTACTATCACTAGAGGACCTTGACCTTGTCATATGACCTTCAAATTGAGAGGTTTTTCTGCTGTCCTCTGACTCAGGGCATCTTTTGTTGTCCGAAGCAGGCAGCATATTTTCTAGATCTGAGCTCTTGTTACTTGGGGGACCACTTTCCGCACTGGATTCCTGTGAGGGAGACTGAACACATTTCTCATTTGTTTTCTGGGTTGTAGGGTTATTCTCCAAACATAAATCCTGTGAGGGAGATTGAACACATTTCTCATTTGATTTCTGAGCTGTAGGGTTATTCTCCAAACATAAATCCTGTGAGGGAGACTGAACACATTTCTCATTTGAATTCTGAGCTGTAGGGTTATTCTCAACAGTTAAATCCTGAGCGGGAGATTGATCACATTTCTCATTCGTTTCCTTATTCTCAACAAAAGAAAAATTAAGAATTCCTTTTGCTGTTTCAGTCTGCCTGTTTTCACTAGGATTAGCTTCATTCGAGTCCACCAAGGAGGAATTTTCTGCATTTCCCACATTTTTCTGTGATAAAGTTGATTGACTTTCATCATTTTTTCTATCACTAGAAAGATCTGGCGTTGAATCTGACTTTTTATGCAATGTTGATGACTGCTCTGAACATTTCCCATCATCAGTTTTGTCCTCCATTTCTGCTGCTGCCTGGACAGACAGCTGGGAATCTGATGAGGACTGAGATTCTGTTAAGTCTATGATGTTTGTTTGTGGTGAGGCACATACCTTCACCTGGAACGTTTCCACTTCATTATTTCCACAGTAACCACTCAGCTCTCCTTCCTTGTCTAAATCTTCATCTGGATCTCTCTGAGAATCCATCTCTTCTAGATCTTTCTGAGAATCCATCTCTTCTAGATCTAACTGACTGTCCATCTCCTCTTTTCCTGAATCTTTCAAGTTATCTAAATCTTTCTGAATATTCACATCCTCTGGATTTTTCTGATTATCCACCTCTTCTCTCTCTGAATCGTTATCTGGATCTTTCTGACAATCCTCTCTTTCTGATGTGGAGGTGTCTGTGTCCTCGGAGCTGCTCTTGATTCGCGGATCGAGGACGTCGGAATCAAACAGCCTGTAGGTCTCTCCCGGTGGCTGAGGCC